TACTTACACCAAAAGCAAAACTGTATTTAACACCATGTTAGTCTGAATGTGGGTTGCTAAAATACACACTCTGCATTCTGTAGCTTTGGCTCTTACGTGCTGGCTGCTGGGTGTCGTGGAGAGCAGCATGAAAAGGCAGAGCCAGGACAGGTAGAAAGAGTCATACTGATGACCAAGGTTAAAGGAATCGGCGGGCATAGGGGCAAGGAGGTAGGGCTAGGAGATGTGAACACAAATACAACTGTGTAGAGCCTGGAAGGTGAAGACAAGGAGCTTAACCTCAATGTAGAAGCAGAAAGGGAGCCAGCAAAGGTATCGGAGGAATAAAGCGATGCAGGCAGAATGATGGGTGAGGATTTGGATGGCAGCATTTTCAGATAGCTGGTGAAAAGGAAGTCAATATCTGGAAGCCCCAGAGTGAGTGCCTGGCCTTTAGTGTCCAGAGACTTGTGTCACTAAGAAGACTGCACAGGGTGGTTAAGGCTGAGGTTGGGGTTAAAAAAATAAAATTCCCAGCGAGTTAGAATTCATCGGAGTCTGATTGCACAGCAAATGTGGGAAGCGAGTGACGATTGCCTGACTTGTAACCAGCTGAATAGAAGCCCTGGGGTGGGGGAGCTTTTAAAGATTGTTTTTCTTCCTCATGTATGTATATACTCAGCAGCATTTCTGAGGGAGTTGCACTAATTAACTCTTCTCTCCACCCCCACCCTCTTAAATCTGAGTGCAGCAGCATCTACCAGCATCTATCAGAATGGGACATATGGGACACAAGGTCCTTCTACCCAGGCCAGGCAGCCAGCTGTTCAGAGTTTTGACGCAGATGTTTGAGCCTGAATCTTAGTCATTCTGTGTGATTTGTGTTGGTAGCTAACGGTGGCCAACTTACTTATCTGGGAAACTCCTGGTGAGGTAGAAACATTTACTCTAGATGGGTTCCTGTTTAGCAACCTATAGAAATGGCATGCTGGAATAATCCTTCTACGTAAATGTTTCTTTTCTTTATTCTTTCAAGTGCTTGCTGACCTCATTTATATAGTATTTCACAGGGTACATCTGGTTTTGGTTGTTTCATGACTCAGTGTTCCAGTTTGAAAACGCAGTGCTGTGATTTAAAACATTGTGTCAGGACAGTGATATACAACTACCTATGACCTAAATGTTGTTGCTTTTGCTCTCTCAGGCACTGCTCCTGCTGCGGGCCGGGCTCCTGCAGCTGTGCAGGGCACAGGGAGGCCCACACTGCAGAGCCTGGCCAAACGGCAGAGCTGCTGCTGGTCTTTTCATCCCCTTGAGCCTGTGGTTTCTTTGTGCTCGAACACACTTCTCCCCAGTGTCAAATATTCCTACCTGGCTATAGCATTTGCTTCCCACTAGAATTTCTTGAGCTGCAAGTTATGTTTTACACATTTACTCTTTTCTTTCTCTCTAGTCCATTTTCTGAAATTGGGTCGCTGGGGGTACATGCACTATTTTATTCACGTTAAGGCACTTTGTACAGGTTACTGGAGAATACTCCATTATGCAGTAGGAGCTGCGGTCAGAATTATTTTCTCTGATGCTTGCTCAGCTTTTGTACTTTTCTGTTGAGTGTGAATTTACATACACTGTCCAGAATCCTTTTCTCAAACAGGTGCATTTTGGTATTTATCCAGGTTGTGACATCTGTCTCAGTGGTGCTAAAAATATTCAGATAACTCTCTTGCAGTTTTTTTGACAGAAGAGTTAATGATAATAAGATGAATGATACAGTTTCTTTTTTTTCCCCTTCATTTTTTTCCTGTAAAATCTTACAGTTGCCCACAGCTTTCGCAGATAGACATCTGTCTATCAAAGATAATACATGTTATAATCTTACACACACAGAGGAACACATTTGAATGGGAGCTGAGGAATTCTGCTTAAATGTGTCACTAAAATGTTCAAATGATACTCTCATCAGTTTCAGGATGGATTGTCAATTTATGTGCTATTTAACAGTTATATTATGGTTCAACATCATAAAAACACTTTTCTAGAATTTGGTAATTTATAATAATTTGGTTTAAGGTGGAAACACTTTCTGGAAATTTGCTTGCAGTTACTACTTTAACTTAAATAACTAGGAGCTAGAGAAAGAGTGAAACTAGATGAGAATATAAAACATATTTACTTAAGACCCATGTAATGATTAAAAGTGAGACAATAAGGAAGCTAGCTTAGTGCATACTAATGCTTCACTCTGCTATTGTACACTTCTGTCTTCCACTCTTTTCCATTGAGTTGCTTGATGGTGCATTTTACATCAACAAATGTATGCTCATTTTTAAGTGACATCTTTTGAAAAATCATAAAAATTAATGACTTGTGGGTTTTGTAGAGGATGAGATTAATGACATCATCTTAACAGGCAACATTTGATACCCAGATGCACTGCTTGCTTTGCTAAAATTTTAAGAGATGAAGGCTACCAGCTAGATAGTATTCTCCTCAGAGGTACGTCACAAGTAAGATCATACCTACTCATTGCATATTTGCTGATCAGGTTAACAGAAAATATTTTTTTTCCAAGAGAGCAGGAGGGAGCAGGAATCTGAGTTTAGTAAAGAAACCAAACAAAACAGTGTGGGAGAGAGCAGAGGTGCCATATCTGCCTATGTAGTCACTCCTATGTATCTCATTATCTACGAGAGCAGTCAGAGGTGTGCTCTCAGAGCTTCATGGAAAATGATAACATGGGGGAATTTGATCAAACAAAAGTATACTAACTTTTACAAGGAAAAACCATCTTCTTGCAGAAATATGATAAGTTATGCCAACATTTAATGGCTTCTTTTCATTCACTGTCCATTTCTTCCATAATTTTTAAGGTAATGATTGATATTAATCAGCACATGCTCAAAAAAAGAGACCTTTTTAACTGGAACAAAAACTCAAGGAAACAAAATAGTTTCTGTGATTTGCTTCTTGGAAAGCTAGATCCAGAATGACAGCTTTTATAGCAACATTGTGCTGTGAGAATCATAGCATTCCGGGCCTGGTTGCCAGCATTTCTCAGAGCCATTTGGCCCGTGAGTTCTAACTTTATTTCATGCTCATGAAAAGAACAGTATTTTCAGGGTCTCTGGGCCAGCTATCCAGTAGTGTTTGTGAAATCTAATTTTTAAAGTGCTGTTGCAGAAATTGATACTGAAGGATTCCTAATATATGCTTCTGTGGCTTAGTTACTTTCTGATAACTAATCTCAAAGAATAACAGTTGGGCATGTGGAAGGCAGAAAAGAACTTCTGACAGCTTTTTCAAGAAAAAGAGGTGAACTGCTTTTATCACGATAAAATTGCTTAACAATAAAGCTAATGAATACAACCAGACATTAATTTTCCCAGGTTATTCCCTTATTTTTATCTTGTGCAAAAAGCTCCGAACTGTCAACTTCAGTTCACAGGTTGATGCTGAGAATGCTGGCTCTGTGTTCCTGCTATGTTTTTGCGGGTGAAGTTAAAATGGCCATGAGTGCAGCACGCCAGCTTTTTAGGACCATATCCTTCTTAATCACCATAACTATTTATCAGTGGCAAAGAGTGTTTGTGGAGAATCTAGGGAGCCACACTATAATGTAAGGTCAGTGTCGTGGTTTAACCCCAGTCAGCAACTAAGCACCACACAGCCGCTCGC